TGTCCTTGGATCCTTCCTCAGGATCGAACTGCTCACCGTCGCCGCCTCTGTCCTTGGATCCTTCCTCAGGATCGAACTGTTCACCGTCTCCGCCTCCGCCCTTGGATCCCTCCTCAGGGTCCAGCTGTTCATCGTCGCCGCCTCTGTCCTTGGATCCCTCCTCAGGGTCCAGCTGTTCACCGTCTCCGCCTCTGTCTTTGCATCCCTCCTCAGGGTCGAGCTGTTCACCGTCTCCGCCTCCGTCCTTGGATCCTTCCTCAGGATCGAACTGTTCACCGTCTCCGCCTCTGTCCTTGGATCCCTCTTCAGAGTCGAACTGTTCACCGTCTCCGCCTGTGTCCTTGTCCCCCTCCCCAGGATCGAGCTGTTCACCGTCTCCGCCTCTGTCCGTGTCTTCCCCCTCGGGGTCGAACTGTTCACCGTCTCCGCCTCTGTCCTCGGATCCCCCCTGATGGTCGAACTGTTCACCGTCTCCACCTCTGTCTTCGGATCCCCCCTCATGGTCGAACTGTTCACCGTCTCCGCCTCTGTCTTCGGATCCCCCCTCAGGATCGAACTGTTCGCCGTCTCCGCCTCTGTCCGTGGCTCCCCCCTCAGGGTCGAACTCTTCACCGTCTCCGCCTGTGTTTCCGCCTCGGTCTCCGCCTGTGTTTCCGCCTCGGTCTCCGCCTCGGTCTCCGCCTCGGTCTGTGGCTTCTTGGTCGTCAAGGTCGTAGTCTCCGCCTCTGTCTCCGCCTCTGTTTGTGGCTTCTTCCTCCTCAAGATCGGAGTCTTCAGTATATCCATCACTGACGGACTCTTCAGCAACTCCCTCACTGAATTAGCCCTCTTCACCACTGCCGGCCTCTTCAGCACCCTCATCATCGAATTAGTCCTTCGGACCTTCTTCTTGTTCTGAGCGTCGGAGACTCCGCTATCAGATGCACCGGCAGCTTCAAGTTCACAGTCCCTTTCCATTGCCTCTTTGTAATCGGGCGGCAACGCGAGATAGCTCTCGACTTCACTCTCGTCGATGTCCATGACTCCATAGATGTCGTAGTGACGGGCTAAAGCATTCCGATCCGTGATGTCTGCCGGGGTCAGTGTTTTTTCGTAGGCTGCGATCTTCGGATAAAAGTCTCCTGCCATTCTTCTCATGATCTCGCCCTTTAGTCTCCGCACTGCATCAGCGCCTCCGTACACCTTGCTCGGTGTGGCGGTATGCGTGATTACAGCCGCGCAAGCTAGATGACGAAGAAACTGGTACATCGACGGAGCGGACCTGCGTTGATTTGTCAGTGATTTACCCGACAGCTGTAGGCTATTAACTCCGTCGGGTATAGAGACGTACTGGCGACCTTTCGGCACCGATATCACCACCTTAAAGTCCTTCCACTTCACGCCAAAAGATTCCGGCAGAGCAAACCCGAACAGAGGATCGGGTTTCTTCGGCCTAATTGTCATAGACACAGTGGCAGTCATAAATGTGCAGCCGCTGGTGTCGCTGAAATTACCTTGAGGGTCCAGAATCGCGGCTAAGCTAGCCGCTGACCGGACGCCACCTGTCTCCGTTGAACAATTTGCACGCATGTACTCGAGTTAGCAAGTGGGTGAAAAAAAAACCTCGTCTTGTCTCATCGTGCAAGGAGCATTCTGAGTTGAATTCGTTGAGGGCTGCATAGATTACGAGTTCGTAAAAAGTTCCTCAACCCATAAAAAGCTAACAGCAGGGCCGGTCGGACCCCAATTCCATCTCAAACACCCCCTCGACCGGTCCTGATGGCCAGAGCGTCACTGACGTCAACCTTGGCGCACGACCTGCCGATCTCACTCCCCGCTCTGGTACGGCTACATGTCCGCCCACCGCGAGCTTTCACGTCCACTAATGCGCCGTGCGACTCATGTTAGTCCGCGCGCATTCCCGGGCGGTTCCTCCTGACTTTTGGTCCACTCACTCCGTCGCAGCCTGGCCTAACCCCGGCTCATCTCCCAGGGAAGCATTCAGCATCCTTCCCCGGGGGGGCTTTCACGCCATCTTGCTTGTCTGGGCGGACTTCAACCGCTATCCTCTCACCAACGCGTAAAGGCTCCTCGCCGTCCCAACGTCCGGCGACTCGCATG